GTTGTCAGGAGGAAATTCTAATGTGACATATACGTTTTATTTTTAGTTACAGTTACAATCAAATAAAACATAATGATAATGTATAAAACAAACTGTATTCTTTTAAGACTTTTTTATTAAACTTTATTCACAAAAACATTAAAAACTGTTCAGTGTGCAAACGATTTACTTTTATCAATATAACAACTGTGAGGATTTATTGTTTTATTAACATCATATCTCAGTTTACAGTTTTCTAAATAATTAATTTTCTGTTCTTTGTTGATTTATAAATCCAAATGTTTTTTATGTGGTGGCTACAGACCTTTCTCTTTGTCGTTAATAAAGTTATAATTATTATTATTATTATTATTATTATTATTAAAATGTATTTTTAACTCTTCAAATAAATTAATTTTCCCTGATAGATGATGAAATATGAGATTTAATGTTTACATGTTTACAGAGCGCTCTGAGCTTCGTCTTTGATTTATGTTCAGTTCCAGTAGAAATGAGTCACTGTGATAAAGAAGAAACAATAAAAGTGTAAAAAGTGTTTTTTCTCTTGTGCAGAGTTTGACCTTTGACCTCCAGGTGAAAGATGAAGCAGCTCAGCGTTTCCCATCATACTCTGCTTCCTGTCTGAGAGCAGCTCGTAACACATTATTATCCGTCCATCTTCGGCGTTATGACCCAGTTTTATCTGTTTTCCTCACTGTCACAGTTAACGAGAAACTTTTTCACTCACAGAATCAGTTTTGCCAACTAAGCGACTGCCTCAGTGAATTCAGTGACTTATTCAGACCGTCAGGGACAAAGAGAGAAGTATATTATAATCAGTTCCCCTGCATGTTGCTCAGAGTGACACAGTACATCACTCTTTCACTATTAATGTGAGGTCTCTCCCCCTAAACTCATGGTGACATGGTGAATAGCTGATGTACAAATTGTCTCTTTTATCAAACTTTATTCACAAAAACTTAAACTGCTGTTCAGTGTGCAAACATTTTACTTTTATCCACATAATTACTGTGATTTTGATTCATAAATCAAAATGTTCAAACTAGACTAAGAAGATTGTTAAAATACACACTATTAATTTGATTTTGATTTAATTTAATTTAATTTAATTTAATTTAATTTAATTTAATCAATCACCTTTATCACCTCAGACACGTGATGTTTCAGGTCTGAGAGCTGCTCCTAGTTGGCATCTATGAACCAGACTTCACTCATATTTTACTGTTTTTAAAGGGACATTGTGTAACATTTTCAGTTGTTTACTGGCAAAAATTGATGTCTGCATTCATAAATATGTCATCACTGGTGTACTATTACCTCCACCAATAATCTGACTTATTCTCGTAAAAGGAGAATTTCGGATTTGTTTGTACATTGTGTGGGTAAGTCGTCTGTGGGGTACGTTTCCCCATCTTGAGTGTACACCCGCCAGCAAGGGACATATAGCCCTGCCTTCGGTGTTTTCGTTGAGAGCCAGGCCAGCACTGCGTGACTGAGGAGCCGAAGGAGAGGAGCAAGAGGCGCTTCGCTACTACCCTGGCAAATCTGAAACAATGTCTTTGAGCATAATGCAGGATCATGCATATGCAGCATCATGGGAGACGGAATCCTCGTCGCCAAGAAAGCGCAAAAGGGAATAGAAAAGGCAACGTGACCGACGAATTAAAAAAATGAAGGCCCACATCGGGGTAGCCTTTCCCAGGTAGAGAGAGCTGCTGAGGGAGAATGGTAATGCAATCACAGGCCAGCGCCGCTGTTGGCTGTTAGCCGCTGTTAGTGGCCAGTTGCTAACAGCCTCATGCCTCTCCTCGCATCACTGCGCCGCTGTTAGCCGCTGTTAGCAGCCAGTCGCTAACAGCCTCATCCCTCTCCTCGCATCACTGCGCCGCTGTTAGCTGTTAGCCGCTGTTAGCCGCTGTTAGCGCTGGCCTGTGATTGCATTACCTTTCTCCTTCAGCAGCTCTCTCCACCTGGGAAAGGCAACCCCAATGCTGACCCTTGTTTTTTAATTCACCGGTCACGCTGTCTTTTTGATTCCCTTTTGCACTTTCTTGGCGATGAGGATTCCGTCTCCCGTGATGCTGCATAATACATGATCCTGCATTATGCTCAAAGAGTGGGACTTTGTTATGCGGCAGTAGTGCCGCTGGCCACTAACAGCTGTTCTCAAAAGACAAGACGTGATCTGTTTGTTTCAATTTACATCCGCCCCAACAGTCCTACGTTGTAAACACAGCCAGCATGGTGAAGAGGGGGTTTGTCAACTCGCGTTGCGTGTGTCTGTGTAGGAGCCTGAATGAATACTCCATGAAGTATCGGATGACATGGTTTCATCAGTGTTATCATAGCTTTTTGGTACACAGCGACTACAGTTGTTGCAATACGTGTTTGAAACAGTGAGGCGCTAGAGTGCACCATCTGTTTGAATGCAATATATGATTTCAACGTTAGATGGGAGAAATTCCTACACACTGTGGCTTTAACACAAACAGCTCATGTGAATAATTTCAGTAAAACCTCTGCTGCATTTCTGACATCACTTCCTGTCCTATCAAAGTAAAAGACAAAAATAATCTGAAATAATCAGAAAAGAAAAACAAAAGTTTCTGTTTTTATTGTGTCTGAAAATTGAAGTTAAATTTTTTTCATTTAAAATTTAAATGTGAAATATGATCACTGATCTCCTCCTGTGTCTCTTTCTCCTCCTCCTTCTGTGTCTCCTCCCTCCCATGTCTCCTCCTCTTGCTTCTCCTCCTCCTGTATCTCCTCCACCTGTGCTCCTCCTCCTGTGTCTTCTCCTCCTCCTGCAGGTCTCTGACTTCCAATCAGCTGCTGATCGATAACCTGCTGGCATCACTTCCCGCTCTTTGAGCTTCAGAGTGTCTGACGGGTCGACTGAAACCAGCCGACTGATGTCTGATGGTGTTACCATGACGACACATCAGCCACCTGCAGTTTGTTGTGTCGATTTTTTTATTGTGTAATAAATGATTTGTGACAGACGGGCTGCTGATGACTCGTTATTGATCGATCCACACAAACTGATCAGAGACTGTTGTTGCTGCTCTGTGCTGCCACCTGCTGGACTGATCAATAATCACCTTCTGGGACAAACATTCATCAACTTTAAACTTAACTCTTAATATTGATTAACTTATTTATTGGTTTATTGAACAGATATTACACATCAATATAATATGTATGTTATATATTAATACACCAATGAAAGACATACATATCCTGCTGTGTCCCATCACATTTTGGGTTTCCTGCACCTTAAACTTTATTCTACTTAACTCAGACCTCTAGTGGCCATCTAGTGGCAGTAAGAGCACAATACACTAATCCATGTAAAAACAAGATGGCAGCCATCTCTGCCAAGTCAGTCTGCAGCTGATCCCGACACAGAAGTGGACAAGCTCCAAAACCTGGTCACATTTTATGATTGAAACTTGTTTATTTATGATTAATAATGTTTGTAGTTTGATATGGCAACAAATTTGACCAATTTTAGCAACAGTAACACGATAAGACACTGTTGATTAGTAGAAGTACTCGTTTGAGGACATTAGGACCAAACAAAGTTTCGGGTTTCAGTAGGAAATATTTTTTATGAGTATATATTGATATAGACAATGTTTTTTTTTTTTTTCTTTATTCAGTGAACTGTGATCCCATCAGCTCCTTTAACCTGTGCACTGTGATTAATGCCTGGTTCACATTACATGACATTTCTGTCTGTTCTGACAGTCACTATGTCAGATAAGGTGAATGGTCATAAAATCGTGCCGTGACTTGGCCGACAGACATGACAGACTACATTATGGTCCAACACCAATCATCTCTGGTCATCTTTAACAACCTGTGTGATGTCATCTGGTTATTCTTGTCCTATTTTTATTATTATTACTATTGTTTTAGTCACTGTGTCTGTTCATGTGCCAGCCGCAATGTTGTTGTAGTAATGTAGAAAGCGCCACAAGATGGACAGAGCTACATTTGAAGTACTGCATGCAAACATGCAAGTCACTGAATCCTCCACAACAAGTTCCTGCAAATGTTTCACAATAAAAGCCTGATTTAAAAATGAAGGGATTCTCTCAACTGAAGTTATAAGGGGCTTTTAATTTGAAACAGATACGGGAAGTGTGCAGTTTGAAATGACGGCGCAATGCATTAACTTTATCAAGGTAACGGGAGCAGATAAAAAGTAAAAATATAAAAATACTGAGGGAATAATAAATAACGGACCGTCTATAATGTAGTCTGTTTCAAATGAAGCTGGTAGCCTCTGCAGTTGTGGTGAGTAAAAGCCACTATTTTTTAAAGGAGCTATATGTAAGAAATCTAAAGCAAATAGTCATAAAATCCTCCTAATATGTCACAGAGACTAAGGAATAATGTTCATATAACATACTGATCTCACCGACAACAATAGTATAGCCAGAATATTTGCATTTTAAAAAAATGTTTACGGTCCGCAAATCATGTTTATGTTTTGAATTTGTGTTTTGGCCTGTTGCGCCACCCACCGCCGTCTACCAGTCACGCAGTCAGTAGAGTCTCAGCATCAGTTACAGTTACGACTGAGCTACAGCAGCACGGCAAGCAGCATTAGCAGTGTCCCGGTACATAGCATTAGCAGCCGGCTCCTCAGCTGTATCCCGGCAGCAGTGTTAGCAGCAGAGAAGCCGGACTTGCTCGAACGGTCTGCTGGAAAACTGAAGATCAAGGACGCGGCGACGCGGCCCTGCCACGGCAGCCTCCCGTGGGCAAACAAATCAGTCTCCAGTTTGCCGCTGTCTAGCAACCTTGAATCTGTAGGGTAGGGGGTGCGGACATGACTCGCGGCAGTATTTTGAATTTGAGTGCAGTAACCTTTTTGGCCACATTCTTACATACAGTGCCTTTAATTTTCTTACTTTATGTCCTCCATTATGGAGAAAAACATTGTTTGCTAGCTTGATGCTAATGACAGCAACGTTACTCACCAGGTCGATAGAGTGCCTCTGATGTTTCACACCATCATTTTTCCTTTTTTACTGTGTGGTAACATCCCTACAGGTTATATCTAAAACCCAGGGCTGTTGTTGTTGTACAGTTTCCACGGCTGCAGATGGCTCTGTGTTTCTATTGGTCAAAGGCTGTGACGGGAGAGGTTGCGAGAGACAAAAAGAAAATCAGACATGCTAGACTTTGTGTCAGGATGTCGTGAGGCATCCCAGACATTGTTGTCTACTACACAAGATGAAACGATGGATTATTGTGTATGACACTCGTTGTCGTTCAAGATCCGAGCCGACACCATACGTTGCTGCGTCGGGCTGTAATCGGGCTGATATCATGTAGTGTGAACCAGGCGTAAGTCATTTTTTGGGATCTTCTGACATGGTTGGCTGCTGCTTTGTAATACGTTTTTTTTTTGTTGGCACTCTGAGCACCACAAGCCGAGGGGCCATCTTGTTCCATCACGTTGGAGAGATGACAGACATCCCTACAGCTGATATCTCCAACACTCGGCAACTCGCACCAAAAACATCTAGACTAATAAACACCACAGGTAAGAGGAAACTATCAAACTGTCCCTTTAATCACAGCTGATTTATTGACTGTTTATCTGGTGACTCTCGTGTTTCCAGCTTGATGATGTCACTCCCTCATGTTGTTGATGTGTTTCCATTCATTAGTTCATCCTAAATAAAGAAAAGATTAAGTTTGAGAACAGATTAACTGTTTATGTAACTGCTGCTGGAACTGACCCACACAGGACACCGTACTGTTCAGGTGCAAATACTGTAAATGCAGATTATCATAAAACTGGCCATTTAAATTGGTTGCTGTGATTTCACAAATAACAAAATACACATCAAGACAAAAATTAATCAATAATTCAAAACAATCTACAATAACAAAAAGTTATCACTGAACACAAACAGCAGAAATAAAGACACTGTGCAGAGGAGAGAACAATGAGCATGACACCATCAGGCAGTGAAGAGGTACAGCTTGTTGATTGTTGTCTCTGAAGTGAAGCAGACACACTGAATGAGTCCAATCTTATTAGGCTGACATGTTTTCACTCATCGTGGTGTGTTCAGTTGCATAATGAGCAGCAGGTTAATCTGAGCGTTAGCAGCACAGACTCAGACCTGCTCATCTCATCCAACAGCACATCACTACTACTTTGTTTCCTCCAGCTGAGGTCTTCCTCTGACCCCCTGCAGCAACATGAACACACCGACCTCCATCTTCATTGTCCTGCTGTCTCTCCTCGTCCTCCTCCTCGTGTCCTCGGGTGAGACAGGAAGTCGATGGACGGATGAAACAGAGAGAAAGTCAGAGGACAGCAGAGAGCTGGTGAGTCACTCTGTCATATCTGTAGTTATAGAATATAGAAGACAATGTCATGATTTATGTTTACTGGTTTTAATAAAAAGCAGAGTTATTGATGCATGAATGTGTTCATCACTTTAATGTTACAGCTGATAGGGGATGTGCTTATTTTAATTACTTTATATACTGCTGGGTAGATTAATCTATAGTAATACTTCATTAATTAGTTAGCCTAATTATAGGCCTATTTTGTATTAATAATCTGAATTTATAAAGTAATCTGATAGATATAGTGCAGTAAAAAGTACAGTATTTCCCTCTGAGGTGTAGTGGAGTAGAAAGTAGCATAAAATGTAAATTTTCAAGTAAAGTACAAGTTTTCAAATTTGTACTTAAGTAAACTACTTGAGTAAAGCAGGGGAGACCGGGGTTGGTTGGCACACAGCTGTTTTCTAGTCCTTTGACGGACACAGAGACAAAAATGTAACATCAAAATGTTCAATATTCAAATGTCACGCTGCGTCTTTAACCACCTGGAAAATACGAGGTCAGGTGCTGGGCGCTACGTTTGTGCTTTCTTTGTGCCAGCTTTCAAGCGTGCATCAGCAGGTTGCGTCTGAGGTTGCTAAGCAACCTTAACAAACATTGTATAGCCTATTTCCCTGATATCCTGAGTGCAGAGCTGATCTTCTTCCAGGAGCTGTTTATAAGTGTGTAGGCCTATCGTCTAAAGCTCTGGGTAGCCCTGCACTGACATGATCAACTTTTCCGTGTTTATCACAGACTGATGTTTCTGAATGAAGAGAAAGATATCTGTCGGCTGTGATTGGTTGATCCTCGTCACATGAAGTTGGATACTGTGTAATGCGTGCGCACCACAGCAGTGTCACTCTGGCATTTGAGTTGCCTGCCCGCGTCTACATTGAAAACCAAAATGCAAAAAATGCTGCATTTGTACGACCCCTTAGTTAATAGACAAAAGAATCAGCTACATTATGATATACGTCTGTGATGACATAATTGATGACATAATAATTTCATTAAAGATTTAGGTCATACCGCTGAGAAAGGTGCCTCAGTGCATCAGTAGCTGAGGCAGATTGCTGACAAAGCGGCAGTGAAGATGGGCTGAGCATTTTAACACTGTGCCAACCGTCCCTGTGATGAGGCTGGTTGCTGCAAATGCACCTCATGACTTTAATCCCAAATCAACTCATTTTTAGAAAACATCTGTGTACAGTAACACATATTTATTAATAGCAGAGACCTTGACCTTTCATTTGCTGCTAGTTATAATATTCTAAAATTCTGCCAGAGGAATACAGCAGATTAAAAAATGTGCCAGCCAACCCCGGTCTCCCCTAATTAGTGTCTGATGAATTATGCATGTTGTCATTTGCTTAACAGAGCTTGATCTGTGATGTAATTTAATGTATGGTGTGTTATGATAAATATTAATGATACTGTCTGTCTGTCAGCTGCTCGTCCTTCAGAACGTTCTGGAGAAACTTCAGAACAGGAAGTCGTCGAATTTGAACAGAAGACAGAGCCGCCTGCCGACCGTGAGACAAACATCACAGTGTTACTGTAGTATCCTGCAGACTGTAGAACTGTAGACAGAACTCTGACCTGTCTGTCTGTCTGTCTGTCTGTCTCAGTGTGAGGCCAGGGCTTCCTGCTCGGTGAAGAAAGGTCCTCGCTTCGGTCAGCTGTGCGACTGTCCGCCAGGCTCCAAGTGTCACCTCTTCTTCCTCAGGTGTTTGTGACCTTCATCACATCAGAGCATCACCATCATCCTCATCATCCTCCGTGTCTTAACTCCTCCAGAGTCTCTTCATCATGTAGTTTTTTGTTTTCAATCCAGAAACACTGGATATACTACATTTCCCATGATGCACCTGGAGTGTCTTTCATTGGAGCCTAACACATACTGAAATGCTGCAATCTGTTGTACTTGCAACTCAGAAAAAAACAGGAACTGTCAGTGAATTTGGAAATTTGAGCTCGAGTTCGTCGACATAAACACACCTAATGTCACAGCACCCGTTTACACAACATTGAGCTGTTATACGTTACTTTAAAGGTCCAGTGTGTTGGATTTAAGGGGATATATTGGCAGAGGAAGAGACCTCTGTGGATAATTTGGCTCCTGGTAAAACCCTCCTGAACAATGAACACTGACTGGAATTCTAACTGGAAGTTTCAGCTGGTTGCAATCTGCAGTCCTCACCACTAGATGCCACTAAATCCCCCTAAATCGTACACACTGCTCCTTCAGTGAGAAGACACGAACAAGACAGCTGACTTATCATGTATGCCGTTTCGTTTTTGCTCTTGGCGTTGCGGTGATTGATGTCGGTCCTCTGTAGATGCTTGTGAAGCTCAGAGACTTGACATACAAAGGCGTCTACGCTTCCCCGAGCAGACGCGCTGTGACGCATTTATATCGGATATTGGAAACTCCAACTTGGAATTATGGACTTCCGACTTGCAATGGATTGCAGCATTACACATCTGATGACCCTGATGACATCAATGTGACATCATCAGACCACACAATGGTAAAATTTGAGCCTTTTCAATGCTGCGTACTTTATTGTAAACCCTGAGTTCTGTCTGCAGGTTGATGTGTTTTCTAATAAAAATATTTAAAATTAAAACTCTGGTTTCATCTGATTCTTCACATGAATTAAAATCAAGTTGCATCGTGGAGATATGGGATGGGAACCTCCAAACATCAGACATAAATGTGAAATGCTTCGGCTTTGGAATGGACTCGAGAAGATGTCGGATCAGAGACTCACTAAAAAGATATTTAATCTCCCACTGTCGTCTCTGGGCTCATGAGTTGAAATCATTATTGTATTTGAGTAACTTGTCTTTTATTTTCCAGAACAGGTTACTTCAGGAGATTAGGAGTGAAATGTTTTTCATGTTTGACATGTTGACATGAGGAATAAACCAAAACTACGAACTCATTGTCTCAAAAAGATCAGTTTACAGTTTGAACTTTACGTGAAGTATAATCTAAACAAGACAAAGATCTCTGTGAGCACAGCTGCATTCAGAAACGTTACCATCAGTCTTAGGTCCTGTTCATACGACAACGATTCCAACCGAAAACTGCAAACTTTAGTTGCGTTTCAGCTGATCGTTTACACGACAGTGGCGTTTTGGGTACCTGAAAACATTTTGAAAACGGGTCCCAGAAGGCAATTTTTTGGAAACAGCACCATCTGCGTTGTCATGTAAACTTGCACTACGCATTTCCTCTGAAAATGGAGACTTTTCTCACATGAGCATTACGGTTCCAGTCACGAGGCATGCGCAAGGAAGTCGACCATCACAACAACAATGGCAGATTCCCGAGCTCTGTTTGTGCTGCTCAACCTGTTGAATTTATCAAGGCCTCTCCAGTTTAGTGCAACTCTACCTCATCGCCCATTCAGACAAACATTAAAACTATTTATTGTTGATTTCTTTCTGCTGATCATGAAAAATCTGAGTTTTCTGTCAGAAAGAGAACCTTTTTTTTTGTGGCTGAATTTTCAGAGTATTCAGTTTCTGGACAGAGCATTAACATAACATGTACTGTGGATTGTTACTGCAACGTCATTGTAATGGTGTCTTGTTAACCCATGAGGGCTGGGTACATGTAAGTGTGCATGACAAATAAAAATCAATCAATCATTAACTGTATAATCTATCGAAATGCAGCGTCATTTTAAACATCATTTATATTGTATTTAAAATCTGGAGGGGCACTAAGGTGGCTTTCTTCACTGTTTGAAGAGTTCAATTGCCCCTAAAAGTACATGCAGTTACACCCTCGTGTTACCTTCCATATCCATGATCATAATCCGTATTGATCAGATTCAGTATTGATTAGAATCAGTACTGTATTGGAGGAAAAAGTGACAGATATTCTAGAGAGAGATGAGTATACTATTAGAATGATGTAAACTACGGTGATTCAGCAGGTAATGTCTTTTATTAAAATATATATATATATTTTAAACTCTGGGAACAAAAGTGGAGCTTCAGTAACACAATCAGAACAAGAAGTTCCCACACACAGAGGGGTCAGTGAAGTGCACATGCCCCATTCAAGTGACAACAACAAAAAACAGAGGTGAACAAACATGTAAAACTAACGCGTTCACTGAGGGCAACACAGCCACTTCCTGCTTCTACACCTGGAACTCACCTGAGACCAAACTAAAGTCTGAGCTCCTCCCCTCTACTGATCAATCACATCAATCAATAATCCTCCTGTCAAATTAAAGATGAAAATCATTAACAATCATCTGTCTGTTTAAATGAAATAATGAAGCGTCAGTTATTTAATCAAACTGTCGGTAGAAAATGAGTTTAAGGAAAAAAAAACAAAAAAAAAAACCCTGAACTGAACCCCCGATCACAACAAATCAAACTTGTTTCAGTCCCCGCCCTCAGACTCAGTCCCAGATTGTCTCCGTCTGTCCAGCCATTGACATGTACTCGTCCAGGTCTGCGTCCAGGCGGCTCTTGGACATGGACATGTAGTCATCCAGCTGCTTGTCCAATCGGCTCTTGGACATGGACATGTACTTGTCCAGCTGTGCGTCCAGCTGCTTCTTGGTTGGTATCTTGGCTTTGCTCCGGCCCCACCACCTGCAGGTGTTGGCCCCGCCCTTCTGCAGGTGTGTTCGTCCTGCAAGACAACAACGATCAGTGGGCTCAAGTATTAGACTGTTTATTACTGTAAATGGGAGAAAGACACCCTTCGTTACTGGTCTCTGAGCCAATGAGTTTAACAGACAGGTGTGCAGTCTGAGCTACAGACACAGTCAGGTCAGTGAACACATCACCTGTTCAAGTGCTGTATCATCAGGTCCATTTAACCCTCTCACCTGAGCCCAGAATGGGCGTTACATTATTTTTTATTTTTACTGTGAAGGTGAAGCCCTTCATCCAGATCTGGTTCAGTCGGATCATTAATGAGGTAAAAGGCTCTGTATTCAAACAGCTGTAATCATTTACCTGAATCTGGAATAGCGTCATGACCTGACAGGTGAGTGTGTTCCTGATCAGTGTGAGTTTGTGGTGAGAACTCACCTGCAGTTAATTTCTGAATGTTTCTCGTCCTCAGGAGGCGACGCTGCCCGAGTCGACTGTGGAGGTTACGTCGTCCTGCACACGAGGCACAGACAGGTGTGACTACAGGTACAGGTATAACTACAGGTGAGGGTGTAACTAGGAGGTACAGGTATAACTACAGGTGAGGGTGTAACTGGAAGTGCAGGTGTAACCACAGGTGAGGGTGTAACTAGGAGGTACAGGTATAACTACAGGTGAGGGTGTAACTAGAGGTGCAGGTGTAACCACAGGTGAGGGTGTAACTAGGAGGTACAGGTATAACTACAGGTGAGGGTGTAACTGGAAGTGCAGATGTGACTACAGGTGAGGGTATAACTACCCCTACAGGTGTAACTACAAGTACAGGTGTAAAGACAGGTGAGGGCCTAACTGCAAGTGCAGGTGTAACTAGAGGTGCCGGTGTAACTACAAGTTCTGGTGTAACTTGAGGTGCAAGTGTAACTATACCTGCTGGTGTAACTACAAATACAGGTGTAAAGACAGGTGAGGGCCTAACTGCAAGTGCAGGTGTAACTAGAGGTGCCGGTGTAACTACAAGTTCTGGTGTAACTTGAGGTGCAAGTGTAACTATACCTGCTGGTGTAACTACAAATACAGGTGTAAAGACAGGT